TAATATTTTACCTAAGGGTTTTCTTAGTATTTCTAAATGGTACATTATCAAAGTCCTTATAATTATAAATTATTTTTTTTGAGACAGTGTCTCGCTCTGTCACCCAGGCTGGAGTGCAATAGCGCACTCTCCGTTCATCATAATCTCCACCTCCTGGGTTCAAGCGATTCTCCTGCCTCAGCCTCCCAAGTAGCTGGGATTACAGGTGTGCACCACTGCACTTGGCTAATTTTTGTATTTTTAAGTAGAGACAGGGTTTCACCATGTTGGTCAGGCTGGTCTTGAACCCCTGACTTCGTGATCTGCCCGCCTTAGCCTCCCAAAGTGCTGGGATTACAGGAGCGAGCCACTGTGCCTGGCTTATAAACTAATTCTTAAATAATTGCCACTAACTATATGTTCACTGAATAAAAAACTATATATGACTCATTCATTTATTAATAAACATTTAACAAGCAGTTACTTAATCACTTGAAAACAGCGAAGCTTAATCACAATACTGAAGCTTCATCACATGCTCAATTACTGAAGCTGCATCATGTGCTGTGCTTGGTCATGCTCTCAGGAAGTTCCATCTGGCAGTAGAGCCATGTGACAGTCATATAGTTTTAGTAAATGATAACAGTAACTTTCATGAAGGGTCCTAGGTTGTCCGTGGATGGAACAGAAGCCAGGGGAAGTGAAGGGGAAGGAGACTGACAAGCATCTGACATTCAACTAACGCATTTCTTCTGTAAACCATGGAGATCCATGTGAGGGCCACAGCAGAAGAGAAATATCATCAGATTTTCACTTAGGAATAACCACTCCAGCAGTAGAGAGCATGGACCAAAGGAGGAAAAGCAGGAAAGCCAGAAGGCTAGTGAGGATTGGCTGTAAAAGTCTAAGTGAGAGTTCCTGAATGCATACTTTAAATGAGGCAATTGTATAGAATTATACTCAACACAACTTTAAAAAAAAAAAATAAGTCTAGATGAGAAATGGTAAGTACATGAACTCAGCGACAAGGGATGGAGCCAAAACAAATATTCAGAAGTCAGAATCTGCAGGACTTGATGAGGGATGAATGAGAGGGAGGGAAGGCTAGGCTGAGGTGTGGAAGCAAGATCACCAGAGAGAAGGAAACATTCACACAATAGACAGAAGGTACATAAGAGAGGGAGATAAACATGTAAGCAGCAAACTGTAACACAGACGAAACCAATGCAGTGTTATGATGGAGAGCCTCGCCCATGACAACAAATCTAGAGCTGATAGAGACATATGAACTAACTGTTGAAAGAAGAACTCATGAACAACGGCAGTGCTATATAAACTGTTATCAATTTTCCACTTCCTCCTCTGCATCAAACATGGTGCCTGATACTTCTTATGTACACTACCAATGTTTCCATTTTACGTCCAAGAAAACTGAGACTCATAAAGATTAGAAGGCAATGCTGGGATTCTAATCCAGCTACCACCAGATTTTGACTCCCCAAGCTACCTCTATGCTGTGACACTGCCTTCTTAAGCAAATGATGATGAAAATGATAATAAAGATAATGAAAGTTTATTTCTGATACTGAGCTGATTAGAACTACAGCTCACATCCCCTGCTCCTTGACCAAGTGCTCAGCTCTGTATTTGGCATTTCACATATACAACCTCATCTATGCCTTGCCCTGTGAGAGTGGTAACAAGACCTGCAATTTAGTAAGCACCTGCTCAATACCAGACATATGATCAAAGTGAAACATGTGTCATTTTTACTCTTCAGAGCAGCCATGCAAAAGAGGCCGCACTGGCCTCACTCTGCAGTCAAGGAAATGGGCTCACAAGACAAGGTGACAAGGTGATACACTAACTGGCAGTACAGGGACAGAATCCACATTTGTGTAGTTTCAAATATCTATAAATATGTCTCTCTTCTCTCCCACTCTCTGTGTCTCTCTCTCCCTCCCTCTCTCTTAGTTGAGAAAGAGGAAGAACACATGTGACAAAATGTTCAAAATCAGTTGAACCCTGATAAAGATTATATAGGAATTGTCTGTATAAGGCTTGCAACTTTTAAATCTGAAACTAGGAAAATAAATCCTGTGACTCAGGGCACCAAAGAATCAGGAAAGGCTTGGTTCATTCTCCGAGGATACCTCTGATACTACAGATGAAATTCAATTCCGCATCTAAGCAGCTGCTTGCAGAGGGAGAGGGGCTGCCACATGAAAACTTATTTTTTTTAAAGAAACTTCAATTAAATAATATTTTTTAAACCACCAATTAAACGTGCATGGTACAGACAGGCTTGGTGGTCACCAGGCCCTAAATATTAGAAATGCGGTGTAACTTCTGGGGTGAGTAGTTAATTCATTTTCACCTTAGAAAAAGAACCGATTTTAGTAGGTAAATTGTTAGTATTCAATATGTCCAACAGGTACATCTTGCCAAGTTTAGAATTAAAAGAAAACTGTAAATTCATTTATTACTAAAATGAAGTATCATCTAAGATTGATATTTGGAGGATATCAGGTCATTTCTATTTTTTTAGAAATTGGAAACATGTAATTCTGTGGGTAAAGTAATAATTTTTTGCAAAACACTGTATCAATAAAGTGAACTAAGTTTGCCTCAAAAGTAAGGATAAGTACTTAAGGGAAATTATTTGCATAATGATTTAATCTTGAGGGCTGAATTTTATGACACCGCATATTAATTTTTAACCCACAAAAAATGGCATTTTCATATGTTTTTATCTATTACATTGGTAGGCTATTCTCTGGTTCAGTCTATAAAAATTTCTTTGACTTTTTTGCAAATAAAAGTAGTGTTCAAGTGTCATCAATTTTTAAAGGCAACACTAGATGGCAGTAAATACACAAAAGTTGTAACAGAGATGACAGTTCTCAGCATACAGTAGTGGTCATTTTTGCCTTTACTCAATTTCATCTGTATTAAATCAAGCTTTAAAAAAATATAAAGAATCAGGCTTGGGCGAAGTGGTTCACATCTGCAATTCCAGCACTGTGGGAGGCCGAAGCAGGCAGATCACTTGAGGTCAGGGGTTGGAGACCACCCTGGCCAAAATGGTGAAACCCTGTCTCTATTAAAAATACAAATATTAGCCTAGCATGGAGGTGCGCACCTGTCATCCCAGCTACTAGGAAGGCTGAAACATGAGAGTTGCTCCAACCCTAGAGGCAGAGGTTGCAGTGAGCCAAGATCGTGCCACTGCACTCCAGCCTGGGTGACAGGGCAAGGCTCTGTCTGAGAAAAAAATAAAAAAGAAGAAGAAGAAGAATGAGAAACCTAAGTAAAAATAAAGTGACCTGGCTTTGGAAATGTGATCCAGAAAAGCAAAAGAAACTATCAATTCATCCAATTTTAAATTTTGAGAACATTAACACTCAACACCAACTTCATAAAATTGTTACATTTTCTAAGTTGTGTTTGTTCTGTAAACAAATTCTAATCATGTAAATGTATCTAAATATTTATTTCGTTAATTAATTTGGAGAAAAAGCATCTTAAATTGCTTTTTTCATCAAGATGTTAAAAATTTGTATGAGAATTTTTATATATTCATAGCTTATTTATTATGGCATTTTTTGAGTTAGTAAAATTTCTGCTCTTTTAGGGCAATGAATAAACATATGAAAGTACAGCATGGTGCTAGTTTAATATGCTACTAGCAAAACTTTTTAAAATTAATAAAAACTTTATGTAGACTCCAGTAAAAAATTATATTTTAAAGTTAAAGATTTAATTTCCTTATTTGAAAAGATTTTCAGATAAAAGAAAAAATCTTATAAACAGAAACATGTTAATTGACTCATTGATAGTATTTTTTTTTTTTTTTTTTTCAGACAGAGCCTCACTCTGTCACCCAGGCTGAAGTGCAGTGGCACAATCTCGGCTTACCACAACATCTGCCTCCTGGGTTCAAGCGGTTCTCCTGCCTCAGCCTCCCAAGTAGATGGGATTACAAGCACACCACATCATGCCCAGCTAATTTTTGTATTTTTAGTAGAGACAGAATTTCACCATGTTGGCCAGGCTGGTCCGAACTCCTAACCTCAGGTGATCTGACTGCCTTGGCCTTCCAAAGTGCTGGGATTATGGGTGTGAGCCACTGTCTCCAGCCCCACTGATAGTTTTGATGAACATTCTGTAACATTCTTTTTTTCCAGCTTTATAAAGATATAACTGACAAATAAAAATGGAATATATTTAAATTATACAACGTATTTTGAAATATGTATATCCTATGAAATTAGCAAAATTAATCTAATTAACATATCACCTCACAGTTACCTTGTAAAATTCAGGATTAGAATTTCAACATGATTTTACAAACTTTATGGTAGCAAATCAAAAATTTGTATTTTCTATTCCATTTATAAATGTTACACTTTTTAAAGTCGTTACAAGACCAAATGGCATTTAGCTGAAGTCTCAGCAACACCAGAATAAAATTGGTTAAATTTCTAATTTTATGGCTATCCCTTGACCTTGGTTTTGTCCTGACACACAAAACTTTCTATTGAGAAACCAAAGCTAGGGTCCTCTCAAATGTATGAAAGTCAATAAGGTATAAACAAAACAAATCTTCAAATACACACTGTGGCAGAAAGAGAGGACCATCTGTGCAAATATAATTCAACCTCTGATCAATGTTAATATTTTAAAATATCATAAAATAAATAGCCATAGCTTACCGCAAGCACGTTGAAACAAATACACACTGAAACAGCCAAATCAATCTTGGAAAAGAAAAACAACATAGTTTCACACTTTCTGATTTCAAAACATATTACAAAGCTGTGGTAATCAAGAGTATGGTACTGGCATAAAAACAGACACACCGACCAATGGAATAAAGAGCCCAGAGATAAAGTCTGCATATACAGTCAAATGATTTTCAACAAAGGTGCCAAGACCACTCATTAGGGAAAAGAAAATCTTTTCAACAATTGGTGCTGGGAAAACTGGACATCCACACGTAAAAGAAATAAAAACAATCCAAAAAAAGTTATAAAAACAACCAAATGAAAATTATAGAACTGAAAAATGCAGTAACAGTAAATTTTTTGAAAAACACTTCAGTATATGGGCTCAATAGTAGTGTGGACATAAAAAGATGTTGAACCAGTGAACTTGAAAATATATCAACAGAATTTGCCTAATGTGAATAACAGAAAACAGACTGACAAAAATTGAACAGAGCCTTAGGGGCCTGTGGGAAAATACAAAAGACCATACAAAGATTCATATCAAAATCCCAGGAGAAGAGAGAGAGTGGGGCTGAAAGAGTACTTGAAGAAATAATGTCTATAAATTCCTTAATTTGGTAAAAGACACAAACCCACAGATCAAAGAAGCTGAGTATGCCCCAAACAGAATAAACCCCCAAAAAGCTACGCTAAGACCTATTATGATTAAACTTTCAAAAATTAAAGATAGAGGGAAACAAGTCTTGAAAGCAGCCAGAGAAAAAAAAGGGCCCATTAACTATAAGTGAACACCAATTGGAATGCTATTATTTCTCATCTGAAACCATGGAGACTAGAGGGAAGTACCAAGATATTTTTCATGTGCTGAAAGAAAAAGACTATCATCCATGAATTCCATGTCCAGCAAAACTATACTTAAGAATAAAAGAGAAAAAAAGGTTTTCAGATGAAGAAAAAATTAAGAGAATTTGTTGCTAGCAGACTGACCTTTTAAAAATTGGCTAACAAAAGTAATTTTAACAGAAAGGAAACTGCATTTGTTTCTCAGTGTTGCCAGAACAAAGTTATCACAAACTATTACAGATTGCTTAAAATAACAGGAATGCATTGTCTTGTAGCCTGGAGAATAGAAGTCTAAAATCAAGATGTTGGCAGGACCATGATCGCCCCTGAAACCCCCCATGATCCCCCTGGAGACTTTCTTGATGCTTCCTGGCTTCTTCCTAGACTTCCTAGATGCTTCTTAGTTTGCCAGTTTAGATAATGACAATTGAAACAGCTGTTTTTATACAATGTGAAGACTAAATAAATAAATAAACAAATAGAGGAGGCATAATGGTTAGAACCCAGAGGGCAACAGCCAAGTACTCCTAGAATGTGCAGATTAAGTGAATCCATGAGGATTTGACTAGCAAAACCATACTGTGTAATACATGAGATTAGCCACCTGCAGATCAATCAGTGTTATAAGTCAGTAAGTCTCCCGAATTAAGTAAGAATCAGGCCCTCAATATGTGACTAAGGTATCACTAAATACAAAAGGAAGCAGTAGGCTAGTCAATGGTAATATACTGAGCAAGCCAAAAATCTAGAGAAAGTAAAGGCAAAAATCAAAAAGTAGGCAGTAATGAGCTTATCCAGCATAGGTCAGAAGCTAGCGATGGATGGACACCAAGAGCTGGCTCACAGGCGAACTCTGCTCTGTGTGGAGGTAGGGATGGTTTTCAGGTTTTCTATACCTTTCAGAATATTGCACTACTCCTGCTCTTGTTCTGAATTTACCAAGAAATCTTCTAATAGCCAAATCCACCTTCACTTTAATATCCACTGTTATGGTACTGGCAAAGTATCTTTCTATTGTAGATTAACCACCTGGCTTTCTGGTTAATCTTTTTTTAAGTTTCATGAGTTTTAAGTTTCAGTCAGTCCCAAAAGCCTCTAATTAACTCTGAGTGTACTGGCAAAGACAAATTTTTAGATCTGTGAAGTGAAGTGCCATATTCTAAATCAAGAAGGCGCATTATAAGCCTAGCCAGCTGGTCTCTCCCTGTCAAAGGTAACTCTGACTTGTTTTCTCACTTCCACAGGTCATAAATCAGCCTTGCAAATACCTCTACAAAATTCTATTCAACTTACAAAATTCAAAATAGACCTACTTGTATCTGTCACGGCCATTCTCTTTTCCCTCCCACTCGCTGCTGTCTAAAATCATTCTCCAAAATGCATATTCCACATATAGCATCTACCATGAACACAGATTCCTACCAAATACAATAAAAGAGCAAAAAAGAGCAAAGCAGAAAGTATTTCTTTAGTCAACACTGGAAACATGCAAGTTCATGATTTCCTTTCCTTCGGTCAGCCCTGAGTCCTAAGGCCTTAAGTATATGAAACACCAATCAGGATCCTAAGCTCTGCATTTATAGAGTTCCATAACTGCTCTGTTTTTAAAATATCTAAAAATGAAAGGTAGTCACAATATTCTTGACAACTATAACTACAAGCAACAAAAAAATTCCTACAAATTATTCCATTTACATTTGGTTAGTGCTTAATTTCCAAGATGTTACAGGAATCCATATTCTGAAACATGATAAAAGGAAAACCTAAAAAGAGCACAGACAGCCTACTTGTGCTTTGTATGTGAAATTATGTATCGTCCTACAAATTACATTTTGAAGTTTGAGAGTGTTTCACAATGAATTCCACACCTGTAGCAAATGAGACTAAGGTCATGATCAAAAAGCATTTCTTAGGATTTATTTGCTTAAGAAAGTATAACTGTCTTTTCTCTAAAATAGACTAAAAATACATATTAAATATATATAATTTGATTTCAAATAAGTTTTTTTTTTTTTAAAGGGACAGTGTCTCGCTCTGTTGCCCAGGCTGGAGTGCAGTGGTGCCATCATAGCTCACTGTAACCTTGAACTCTGGGGCTCAAGCAATCCTCCTGCCTCAGCCTCCCAAATAGCTAGGACTATAAGAATGAACCAACACATCAGGTACCAAATTAAATCAGGTAATTTTAAAATTTTTTTGTGGAGACAGGATCTTATGTTGCTCAGGTCTTGAACTCCTAGCCTCATGCCATCCTTCTGCCTTGTCCTGGGTACTGAGATTATAGGCATGAGCCACAGCACCTGGCCCTCAAATAAGATTTACCTACTTAGCACTGGGTAGGCCAGCACAACAGTGGAAAAGTCACTTCCTGTCTGCATAATGCTGACATTTTTCATACTTGGGCAATAACCACGAATACACGCCTGAATCCTCATGTCTTCTATTACTTGAACTGTTTTTGCTTTCTTACCAGTAAATCTGTATCGCTGAATTGTCAGTCATGGACAGCCCAAGACAGCACTGCTTTGGTACAGAGGAATATGCTATGGATGTTCCTTAAAAGAAGTTTAAATCTTTACTTACCTCCACCGCTACTACAATCAAAATGAGGTCTGCTTTTGACTCTGGAAAGATGGCATTCACTTGTGGTGACATTCCAATCAGAGCACAGTTCGTGACCACAGATATAACACTCATTGTTTCAAAAGCCAACTAAAAGAAAAAAGAATGAAAATTAAAAATTGCAATGCCTGCTTGCATATTTCCTCACCCTTTTTCATATTATCTAAAAATCAAGGAAAATGTCTTACCCTAGTTCTAAACATTCCAAGTACATTTTAAACTTTTTTCTCTGTCATGGTATGATTTTTTTTAGCTGAAAAAAGCCATACTGTTAGACAGTATTTTAGACACTTTTGGCATGAATATCCCAAAGCAGTATGTTCTATCTTCCTAATTGGAGGCAGCCCCAGACCTGAATTGGGAACATTTAAAGTTACTCTACTCACATCTAAGAGGAATCTGAAGTAGAGCTGTCAGGAAAAAATGTTTCACATTAAAAAACAGGTAAGATTTCAAACAGAACTTATGTTGTAAAACCATCCTTCTACTTTAACATCACACACCACATATGACTCAGCTATAACCAGTTTTATAATCAAGGCACCAGTGATAAATGGTGATCCTTTCCCGGCATCATTTAGCAACAAATGTAGAACTTTATAGAGAAATGCAGATGCTAGGCCCCACTGAGACCTACTAGACAAACTTGGTCCCATATCCCCTGAAGGAGACTTTGGTGCATACTGCCGAAGATGGATGGAGAAATGCTGTGACCATTGCTTTTTTTTCTTTAATATAAAGCATATGGTCATTAATTAGTAATTTACCCATTAATTCCAAGAAACACAAGTACTATTAGAAACATAAATTTTAAAAGAAGCAAAACAAAAGATGACTGAATCCAAACTTAATACATCTTGCCCATGGAGAACTTCTGCCATCTTGTATTTAGAAATATTTTGTGTAGTCTGATTATTTTTCCACAGTTTTCTTCATAAGAAATCTAAAACTGTCTTTATTTTTTCTTTGGTTTAAAATTTCTATTTACTTATTTTTTATTATATTCACATAGCTTAAAAATCAAAAAATTCTAAGTATATAGTAAAGAGTGTCTTGTTCCCTTGTCCCTTTTCCTTCCACTTCCCAGCTCCCATTCTCCCTTGAAGATAACCATTATTAGCAATTTCATATGTATTCTTTCAGACACTTTGTCTACAAAATAAGCAAACTTGAATATACACACTCTTTCTTACTCCCTTTTCAGCAGACTACACACCATCAGGACCCTTGCTTTGGTCATTTAAATTGTCTTGAGGGACTTCTTGTGTCAATACTAAAAGAGCTCCTTCATTCTTTGCCACATATCAGAACATATGTAACCATTTTCTGATTGGTGGGCATTTACTTGCTATTACAAATAATGTTACAATTGATGATCTTATAAGTACATCACTTAACAAATGTGGAATTAGGCTAAATTCTGCAAAGTGAAACGGCTGAGTCAAGGAGGACATGCATTTGCTATTTTGATAGATAATATGAAGCTGCACTCCATGGGTTGACCAGCTCATACTTCCAACAGCAGCATATGACAATGCCTGGCTTCCTGAACTTCCAATATATTTGTAACTAAACTTTAAGGTTTTTCTTTAGATCATCTATATTGAGTTATAATTTACATACAATAAACAGCATGTATTTAAGGTACATACTTCCTTAAGTTTTATAGGTGTACCTGTGAAACCACCACCACCACAAACAAGACACAGGACATTTCCATTTCCTCCTTGCAATTCAGCTCATGACTTTTTCAGCCCTATCTTTACACCTGGGTCCAAACAAAATATGATCTACATTTTGTCAATGTAGATTTGTTTGCATATTCCAAAATTAGATATAACTGAAATCATACAGTATACACCCTTTTGTGTCTGCTTCTTTCACTCAGCATGATGATTCAGTGATTGAGCCATGTTTTATGTATCACTATTTCATTTCCTTTTTTATTGAGCAGTGTTCCATTTTATGAATATGTCAAAATTTCTGTTTTCCATTTACCTCCTGGTGGCAAGTTGGGTTGTTTCCAGTTTGGGATTATTGTGCATAAAGTTGCTATGAACATTCCTGTGCAGTCTTTGTATGAATATATCCGTTCATTTCTCCTGGCTATCTATTAATATTTCTCCTTTCAGTTCAAGTTTTTTTGTTCACATATTTTGAAACTCTGTTCTTTGGTACATATACATTTAAGATTGCTATGTCTTCCTGATAATTTGACACTTTTATCATCACAGAATGGTCCTCTCTGGCAATGTTTTTGCTCAGATGTCTACTTTATCTGATATTAATAGTCATTCCTGCTTTCTTTTAAATAATATTTCCATATATATCATTTTTATCCTTTTACTTTCAACCTACCTAAATACTATTTGCAATTCTTAAAGAAAGCAAATACTTGAGTCATGTGTTTTAATCCACTCTGCCAATCTGTCTTTAATTGTTGTCTGACCATTTATAGGTAATGTAGTCATTGATATGTTAGGAAGTATGGCTGGTTATTTCTTTGTTTTCTGTTTGTTCCCTGTTTTCCACTTATCTCCTTTCTTTTTCCTGCCTTACTGTGGTTTACTTGAACATTTTTTAGAATTCCATTTTGGTTTATCTTAATGTTCCTGAGTGTATCTTTTGTATAATATTTTTAGTTGTGGCTCCAGGAATTATATATACATAACTTACCACATTCTACTTGTGTTATCATTTATCAGTTTGAAGCATGGGAAACCTCACTTCCACCATCCTTTATTCATAATATACTTATTGTTATAGGGCAAAGAATCAGACAGAGTATCTTGTCTACATAGGCTGTGTGTAGTGGCTCATGCCTATAATCCTAGAACTTTGGAAGGCCAAGGTGGGAGGATCACTTGAGGCCAGAAGTTTAAGACCACCCTGGTTAACATAGGGGTAGCCTATGTCTACAAAATAATAATAAAATTGTTTTTTCTCTACATATATTTAGAATCATTAGGCAGTATTGTAAGTTTTGCTTCAATAATCAGACATAACTCAGAAAACTCAATAAAAGTCTATTTTGTTTACTAATATTTTTGGTTATCATGGTTTTTCTTCCTCACGTTCCCAGATTTGTTCTTTTATCATTCCTTAGTTAACAGAACTTCCTATAGCTATTCTTTTAGGATAGGTCTACTGGCAACAAATTCTCTTAGTTCTCCGTCATCTGAAAATGTCTTGCTTCTTACTTCATTTCTGAAAAATATTATCTCCGAATATAGGATTTTACACACACACACACACACACACACACACATACATATATATTTTTGAGATAGAGTTTCACTCTTGTCACCCAGGCTGGAGTGCAATGGTGTGACCTTGGCACGCTGCAACCTCCACCTCCCAGGTTCAGGCAATTCTCCTGTCTCAGTCTCCAGAGGAGCTAGGATTACAGGCATCTGTGAACACAGCCAGCCAATTTTTGTATTTTTAGTAGAGACAGGGTTTCACCATGTTGGCCAGGCTGGCCTCCCAAAGTGCTGGGATTACAGGTATGAACCACCGTACCTGGCCAGGATTCTATACTGACAATACATTAAGGACCTGAAAAATATTTTGCCACTTTCTTCTGGCCTCCATGGTTTCCAAGAAGAAATTGGCTGTCATTCTAATTGTTTTTCCCCTATAGGTATGATGTCATTTCTCTTTTGATTCTCTTGAAATGCTGTCTTTAGCTTTCAGGTGTTTATGATGTGTGTTGACAAGGATTTCTTTGGTTTATCTTGTTTGGGGTTCACACTGCTTCTTGAATCTGCAGTTTTAGGTCTCTTGACAAATTTAAAAAGTTCTCAGCCATTATCTATTCAAATACTTTTGGGGACCCCCTCTTTATTCTCTCCTTCTGTAACACCAATGACATGAATGTTAGCTCTTTTTTAAATCCACACAAGTCCCTGAGGTTATGTTTTTACCCAATACTTTCTGTTGTTCTGACTGGATAATTTCTTTTTTTGAGATGAAGTCTCACCCTGTTGCTCGAGCTGGAGTGCAGCAGTGCAATCCAGCTCAGTGCAACCTCCACCTCCCGGGTTCAAGTGATTCTCTTGCCTCAGCCTCCCGAGTAGCTGGGATTATAGGTGCCCACCACCACACCCAGCTAACTTTTGTATTTTTAGTAGAGATGGCGTTTCACCGTGTTGGCCAGACTGGTCTTGAACTCCTGACCTCGTGATACAACTGCCTCAGCCTCACAAAGTGCTGGGATTATAGGCATAGCCACTGTGCCTGTCCGATAATTTCTTTTATTCTATTTTCCAGTTTTTGATTCTTTCCTCTATCCTTTCCATTCTGCTGTTGCACTCATTCAGTGAGCTTTTTATTTCAGTTATAGGTATTTGTCCCTTCTAAAATATCAACATGATCCTCTTTTATATCTTCCGTCTCTTTGCTGAGACATCCCAATTCTGTTTTTCTCATTTATTTCAGGTATCGTCATAATTACTCATTGAAACTTTTATATAAGGCTGTTTTAAAATCGCTGTCCAATATTTCTAACACCTGTGTCATCTTGGTAGCGGCATCTGCTGACTGTCTTTTCTCATTAAGCTTGATTTCTTCCTGGTTCTTCATATAATGAGTGATCTTATTTTATTTTATTTTTTTGAGATGGAGTCTCACTCTGTCACCCAGGCTGGAGGACAATGGCATGATATCGGCTCACTGCAACCTCCGCCTCCTGGGTTCAAGTGATTCTTCTGCCTCAGACTCCTGAGTAGTAGGGATTACAGGCACCCACCAGCATACCTGACTAATTTTTGTATTTTTAGTTGGGATGGGGTTTCATCATGTTAGCCATGCTGGTCTGGAACTCCTGACCTCAGGTGATCGGCCTGCCTCGGCCTCCCAAAAATGCTAGGATTGCATTTGTGAGCCACACCTGGCCTGATGAATGATTTTTTTAATAGAAACCTAGATATGTTAGGAGAAAGAAGATTCTAGATTAAACCTTCTGTTTTAGTTGATTTCTCTAATACCATTCCAGCAAGGGAAGAGGGGATAAAACCTTATTAATACCAGGTAGAGGTAGAAGTTCAGGTTCCCCATGTAGAAACCACTGGCACCTAGTGGGGATTCCTCATTATTGCTGGACAAGGATGGGTGTTCTGGCTTCCCACTAGACTTCTACTGATTCTTCCTTCATGGAGAGAAGGATGGGTCCCTCATATATGTTCCCATGTGGGCTCCACTGTGCATGGTTGTGGTGAAACTCCTTATTCCACTAGGCTTCCTCTGAGACCACCCCATGACTAGAAAACTAGACTAGCAGAAACTAAAAAAGGAGTCTCATTACTGCCAGGTAGGAGCAGAAGTCTAGGCTCCCCATGTGGCTTCCACTGACTCTGTAGCAGGGAGGGGCTCAATACCAGCTGAGATGAAGTCTCAGCTGGCTACTTTCCCAGAAGATTGTCAGAGTTTCACATCTGAAAGTGGTCTTAGAAATTATATTTTATCTCCCCAGCCCCCAATTTAAAAACAAGAAAAGTTAAGCTAGAGAAAGTAAATGGTTATCTAAGGTCACACAGCTAGTTTGCAGCAAAACAAATCCAGTTTTCCTGAATCTCTCTGTAGGGCTTGCTTTTTTATTTTTTCCCTGTCATAACATCTCATATTTTTATTTTTTAAAGGAATAATTTTTTTCTCAAACAATTACCTGCCACACACCAATACTGGCTGAAGGTTCTGAGAATGGACGTTTGAAGACCCTGCACATTTTTAAGGCATCTGAATTGACTTCGGTGAAGTTATTTAACACAGCAAAGGCAGCTGCTAATGGGTAAACACAGGAGAAAAGGCTCACATATCCAAACTGCAGGAATAACTCCAAGTAATCATCAAAGGTGCCCTGAAAATATAAACAAGCATGCATTATTTTAATATCATATAATAGGAATATCTTTTTGCAATATTATTCCAAGCCTTGGCCTTTAACTATTCAAAAAAAAAAAAAAAACCTCAGAGTTTCCCCACCACACACCAGTGTTTCTCCAACTTCTGGCACCCTCAGGCATCATGATCATCCCCCACACATGCAATAATAATTTCAGTTTAAGAAAACTACTCATCACAATATTTTAAAGCAATGATAAACATTAATATTTTAAAATTAATAAACATTATTATTATTGCATCTCTGAACCAGTCTTTCACTAAGATATGCATATTAGATTCAGTATTAGTGTAAGTCAGAGTCCACTTCCAGTCAGGTTTTATTATTTTATATTTTACTAAATGGAAAATCTCAAACACAATAGGATATTGGGAATAGCAAAAGGTGCTTCTTCCAGATGTTCTGGATATCTGAATCAAGTATGAACCCACAGATTCTAAGTGAGTCTCACTGGCTATTTTCAAGGTTCACCAGAAAGTACCACTAAACACATAAACCTCAGAACTGGCAGGTTAAATGCTCGGCTTGGGATTCAAGAATGAGCAGTTTCTAAATAACTTGGTTGATTGCATTTGGCTCTAGATAGTATGTTCTTATGTTGTGTTGCAGCATCTAGTTGTGGTTTTTAAATATGCCCAGTGACATTGCATCAATCTCTTTCTCTGAAAGATGAAGAAATCAAGACTTGGGAAAGAGTAAAAATCTTAGCAATCAAACCATTTTTAAGACATTCAGTCTTAAGAAATCCTGATACCCTACGCTCAGCATTCAAAATTACACTGTTTCAGCCAGCGCAGTGGCTCTTGCCTATAATCCTAGCACTTTGAGAGGCCAAGGCAGGCAGATCACTTGAGGTTGGGAGTTTGAAACCAGTCTGGCCATCATGATAAAACCCCATCTCTACTAAAAATACAAAAAAAAAAAAAAAAAAAAATTAGCCAGGTGTGGTGGCATGCACCTGTAATCCCAGCTACTTGGGAGGCTGAAGCAGGAGAACTGCTTGAACCTAGGAGGCAGAGTTTGCAATGAACCGAAATTATACCACTGCACCTCAGCCTGGGCAACAGAGCAAGACTCTATCTCAAAAGAAAAAAAAAATAAAGCTTATACAGAGGTATGCAGGCAGTTTTTCTCAGGTGTGCCACTGGGAAGCCTCTGAAAATCACGCAAAGGCCTTCTTGGTGTTATTAGTACATAGCACTGAGGGAGCCCTTCCTAAACACAGCAGCATGCTCCACACTCTGTGTTTCCATCTCATGGGGTGATTCTGAGTGATGATATGTACACGTTAATATTTTATCAGTACCTTTTACACTCTGAGTGCTTTTGAGCCAATAAATTTAGGAAACCAGGGACATAATCTAACAGCAAGAAGGAAAAAAAAATGAAAATTTAACAAAGAACACACACACATACACACAGACTATATTAACCATGACACAACCTACACTATTCACTCTTTTTATTGGGCCATGCTATCAACACTCAGCTGAGAAGTTTTAAACTGACAAAATGTTACTTACTAAAAACATGTAGCAAATATGACACACAATGGTGAGAAGATAAAAAATCAGAAATAAGATAAAGATTCCTGTAATAATTACTTCTATGCAAATTGTATTGAACATTCTAGTAAGCCTAGTAGATAATAAAAAAGGTAAAAACTGAAGGAAGAAAGAAAATGATCATTATTTATAGCTCAAATTACTGTCTCTAGAAAATCCAACAAAATCTGTAGAAAATGTATTGGAGGCCAGGCGCGGTGGCTCACACCTGTAATCCCAGCACTTTGAGAGGCCGAGGCGGGTGGATCACGAGGTCAAGAGATCGAGACCATCCTGGTCAACATGGTGAAACCCCGTCTCTACTAAAAATACAAAAAATTAGCTGGGCATGGTGGCGCGTGCCTGTAATCCCAGCTACTCAGGAGGCTGAGGCAGGAGAATTGCCTGAACCCAGGAGACGGAGGTTGCGGTGAGCCGAGATCGCGCCATTGCACTCCAGCCTGGGCAACAAGAGTGAAACTCCGTCTCAAAAAAAAAAAGAAAATGTATTGGAAATAACAGGAGAGTTCAGCAAAGCTGTGGGTAAAAGACATAAAAATTAACAGCATTCCCATATGCCATCACAAACAATTAGAAACTGTATTTTTAAAGAGATACTATTTATAAAAAGGAAGAATAAAGTCTCAAAAGTACCGACCCACAGATTTATTCATTATAAAATGAAAAAAAAAAAAAAAAACCCTGTGCAATCTACGTTTTACCAAACCAACCAAATGATCAAACAAGGTGACCCCACAAAATGAGCAACCAGATGTCAATGTCTCCTGATGGGGTGCAATGGTGGCAGACTTCCAAAAGCATTTCACTCAAATCTTATGAGAAATAAGATCAAACAATAGATTTACAAAAGCCAATTCCTTGAAAAATGGCAAGGGGGTTGCTCTAGAGCTGCAGTTTTCAAACTTTTTTGGTCTTAAGGGTCCTAAACTCTTAAAAAAGTATTGAGGACATTAAAGACATTTTGTTTATGTGAACTTTATCTAGTGATGCTTACCATACTATTAATCAAAACTGAGAAATCAGGCCAGGCATGGTAGTTCATCCCAACACTTTGGGAGGCCAAGGTGGGAGAACTGCTTAAATCCAGGAGTTCAAGAGCAGCCTGGGCTACACAGTGAGAGCCCATCTCTACAAAAAATACAAAAATAAGTCAGGCATGATGGTGCCTGCCTATAGTCCCAGCTACTCAGGAGGCTGAGGCAGAAGGATCACTTGAGCCTGGGAGGTTGAGGTTGCAGTGAGCCACAACTGTCACCAATGCCCTCCAACCTGGTGACAAAGTGAGACCCTGTCTACAAATGAACAACAACAACAAAAAAGCAAAAAATTTTAAAGATTTTCCATTAAATTCATTAAATAATAATATGTTAATATAAATGAAATATCTTTTAAAAAATAATTACATTTCAAAAAATGTTAATGCAAAGACTGGCACTTTTAACATTTTTGACAAACCTCATTTAATGTATCATTTAGTACAAAGTAGTTCATTTACTGTGCAGGAATATGATGTTCTACTTGTAATAGTCATCATGAAAATTCAGCCTCACACAGCTAGGCAGTTGGATATGAATGGGCAGTTCACAGGAAAAGGACAGCAGAGGACAGTGAAGATCCAAGAAGCAACACAGCCTTAGTCCTTGGCTGGTGAAGCAGCGGTCAGGAGACCCAAGGGATGACCATGGGTGGGAATATTATGGAGTATTTCTTTTTATATATTGATTTTATCCTGCATTTTCTAAGTTTTCCACAGTGAGTGAGAAAGTATTACTTTTATAGTAATGTTTTTAAGGTTTCAGCCAAATTGCTTTTTCCCAAAGCTTGGCAACATCATTTTAGACTCATATATAACATTCAGGATGAGACTACAGAAAATACAATTCCAAATTCATTAATTTCAATTAGGAGAAAAATGAACCCAGAAGAATGAATTTGTGCATAGGAAACAATCATCTAGAATAAATGTGACCCAAAAGTATCTCCCATCCAAATACATGGAGAGAACCAAAATGACAAACATCCAACGTCGCTCCAGTGGAGACAGGGAAAAACAAACCTGTAAGAGATCAGGAGTGGGAAATGGCCAGATTGTGCAGAACTCTGCAGGCCAAAAAAGGAATGGCACTGTAAACCATAGAGTTTACTCACAGACCCACGGCCTGAGATAAATCAGACACTATTTCCTTACCTCACATTAGAGAGCCTGTAGTGTATAATGGAAAGATTCTGAATTGGGAAGGCAAAGTCTTGAACCTTCTTTCTGATTCAGTCACCAAATGATTAATGAGATAGAGCTTCATTTGCTTCTTTTCGATATGAGAAAAGCCATGCCTCCCTCACCTCCTTTCGTAAAGGTTTTGTCAGATATCTTAAAATTCCAAAACAGGTAATACGATCTAAGATTTTGGCAATGTCACATCACTGGTATACAGTTCTTAGATAAATTAGAATTGCTCAGAGGAAGACTATACTGAAAACCATTCATTGAGCCAGGGGCAAAGCAGAAGAATCCTGTCTTGAGAAGATTATGAATTGTGTTTTGGGTATTTCAGGAGATAATGTTGTTTGCCCAAATAATTTCAAAGAAAAAGAACAGCTAAAAGCGGATTCTAATCGATTATAGAAAGAGAAGTAGGAAACTAAAAACAACAATATGGAGAATTATTGCAGAAAACTGTGAGGGGAACGAAAGACAGGACACAAACAGCGGAAGATGTGAAGAGTTTGCTTAGTTCAAAATAGGCAAGTTGCTGACTTGGTGGAGCAGTTAGAAAGGGAAGAAGGAGATACAAGAGCACCAGGTGATGGCTGGTGACATGAGGCCTCCAAAGATGTGGGGGGATAGAATGAGAGTACAGGGGATGGACTGCTGGTACAGTTTCTATAAGAGAGTGAAGAAAGGAAAGGAAATGTGGCCAAGAATACCAACCTTCAGCACAGGCAAGGAAAGGATCCTGACATAACAGAACTTTTATCCCATAGTAAAATGACATAACTGAACTTTTATCCCATAGTAGGCTAGCACTCAACCAATCTAGGATAGCTCCACACTTGTGCCCACGTTCCTTTTTAATTCTTCCTCTGTGAGAGAGAGAATTGGTGTCTTTTCTCTATGCTTCTTACATACACAATGTTGCTGTTCAAAGTGTGCTATGTGTTTATACTTTGAATCATCTCCCCAAACACAGCAATGATAGAAGGGACTAGGATCTGTATCCTATTGGGAAGAGAACCAAGAGCACCCCCTCCCCTGGAGTGTAACCGGAATTAGGCTTGCTGAGCAAAACCAGGGGTTGGGACATACTCCTGCCCTTCAAAGGAGGCTTTAAAAAAAAAAAGCCACAACTGCTGCCTGGTAACTACAGCCATGTCAACAGAATGCCACCTACTGGCTCTGTGACCAGATCTATAAAATCCCCATCAACACCACAAGATGGGAGTTCTGGGATACAAACACCTGATTCTGGATGAGGGGCTTGGAAGCTCGGTGGGGGCAACTACAAAAAATAAGGCAGAAGTGACTAAGAGAAAAGGACAAAGGCTTGCTCAACATGAACATACAAACTGAAGTTTCCAAGCACATGAGAAAAATTATGAAAGTCAATCAAGACACTCAATAATCAGGAGATAAATTCATTCAAGATGAAAAACAAGACTACGAAAGTTTCACAATAATAGGCTCTCACTAAATGACCCACTGAAGGATCTATTTCACCAGAAAGAATACTGTAGCAAGAAGGGAATACTGTAGAAGAAAGAAGGTGCAGGATGTTAAGAAACAATGGCCTAAAACAAATGTGAAATATAGAGACAGAGTCAGAGCTCAATAAAAGTTGGTTGAACACATGGTTAGATTTTATGAGCTAGACCTTTCAAATATTAAAAGTGTAAATCTCTAACGATCCTAATTATTTTTAGTTCCTAATAATAATTCAGAAAGTCTCTGACTTAAAGGAACTGTTTTATATTTAAACAATAGCACTAATGTAAACTAAAATTCAATCTTCAGATTGGCATTCCATTGTTCATCAACGGGTCTCAATCTTTTGCTTGTGCAGCCATCATTTTCCATGAGTTTGAAGGGTCAAGAGCGAGCAATGCTGCTGCCTCTCCAGGTACCATCTCACCTGTTCTGTCATCTCTGGGGCAACTACTTCTACCCTGCTCTCCGCAAAGCAAAGCAGTCATGTAATTCTCCAAATTTGCCCTTTGGTGTTGTTAGGCTTATCTTTAGACTCCAGACAGCAGCACTTCAACGTCCAATTCTATCCTTTTTACTTTAAAGTGGTTCATGATGAGGAAACTGACTGGAAAGCACGTCTAGAATAGTCACATCTGAGATCATAAATGCATAACGTTTGTTGAAGTGCATGGCTATTAATCTCTTTCAGTAAATGTTTAATTCAGCAATATTCCAACTTACCAAATAAGTTCCCATTTCTTTTTCCAGAATGACTTGCTCATATAATGTAGCATCAATGTCTACCTTTAAAGCCTGCACCTTCCTCTTCACCCGCACACCATGCTTCCTTTGGAGCCAATAAGGAAGTAGAGATTCCACAATTTGGTTGAGGATCTGGGAAGTAATCAGGAGAGTGGCCAAACTCTAAAGAGAAGGACACAAATAATATTTTGGCAATATAGCTGAATAAAACTGTAGCAGAAATACAATTTTGCAATAAATAAGATGGAATCTTTATTAATAGTATACTATTGTGTGATAAAAACTAGTATTAGAAAAGCTAGGTGTTAGAATGGTGCTTCTAATTTATGGTTTTCCACAGGAAAGGCTGAGATTAAAATATAAATAAAATATAATACAAATAACATTATAATAAGAAACAAACTGTCAGTTAAACAGTCCCAACACAGGGAAATAATAAATGTTTGGGAGGATGGATATGCTAACTATCTTGATCTGATTGCTATACATTTTATGTATCAAAACATCACTATGTACTTCATGAATATGTACAATTATTTGTCAATTTTTCAACTTTAAAAAAAGAATGAATTAACTTGCAACTATGTTCTTTGACATTTCATTCTGACTACAACATATAAGTCTAAGTGATGTTGCCAACTTTGGGAAAAAAACAGTTTGGCTAAATTCTTTTTTAAAGAATTTGAATTATACCACTAATACACATCCCCTCACTATTAAAAAAAAAAAAAAAACAAACACGTATTTATAGTCAACTGATTTTTCATAAAGGCACTAACAATGTATATTGAGGCTGGGCACGGTGGCTCACGCCTGTAAGCCCAGCACATTGAGAGGCCAAGGCGGGCAGATCACCTGAGACTGGGTGTTTGAGACAAGCCTGGACAACATGGTGAAATCCATCTCTAATAACAATACAAAAATTAGCTGGGTGTGGTTACAAAGACGACAGGTGGATAAATCCACAAAGATGGGAAGAAACCAATGCAGAAAGGCTGAAAACACCCAAAATTAGAATGCCTCTCCGCCTTCAGGGGATCGCAGCTGCTCATCAGCAAGGGAACAAGGCCTGATGGAGAATGAGTGTGATGAATTGTCAGAATCAGGCTTCAGAAGGTGGATAATAAGAAACTTCTGTGAGCTAAAAGAACATGTTCTAACCCAATGCAAAAAAACTAAGAACCTTGAAAAAAGGTTTGATGAAATGCTAATGAGAATAGATAATTTAGAGAGGAATATAAGTGAATTAATGAAGCTGAAAAACACAATACGAGAACTTCGCGAAGTATGCACAAGTTTTAACAGTCAAATTGATCAAGCAGAAGAAAGGATATCAGAGGTCGAAGACCAACTCAATGAAATAAAATGAGAAGACAAGATTAGAGAAAAAAGGGTAAAAAGGAATGAGCAAAGTCTCCAAGAAATATGGGACTATGTGAAAAGACCTAATCTACGTTTGATAGGTGTACCTGAATATGATGAAGAGAACGAATCCAAGCTGGAAAATATTCTCCAGGATATTATTCAGGAAAAATTTCCCAACTTAGCAAGGCAGGACAATATTCAACTCCACGTAATACAGAGAACACCATAAAGATATTCCTCAAGAAGAGCAACCGCAAGGCACATAATTGTCAGATTCACCAGGGTTGAAATGAAGGAGAAAATGCTAAGGGCAGCCAGAGAGAAAGGTCAGGTTACCCACAAAAGGAAGCCTATCAGACTCACAGCAGATCTCTCAGCAGAAACCCTACAAGCCAGAATAGAGTGGGGACCAATATTTAACATCCTTAAAGAAAAGAACTTGCAACCCAGAATTTCATATCCAGCCAAACTAAGCTTCATAAGCGAAGGAAAAATAAAATCTTTTGTGAACAAGCAAGTACTCAGAGATTTCATCACCACCAGGCCTGCTTTACAAGAGCTTCTGAAAGAAGCACTACACATAGAAAGGAACAACCAGTATCAGCCATTCCAAAAATATACCAAAAGGTAAAGAGCATCAACATAATGAAGAATCTACATCAACTAATGGGCAAAACAGCCAGCTAGCATTAAATGGCAGTATTAAACTCACATATATTAATATTAATCCTAAATTTAAATCGACTAAATGCCCCAATCAAAAGACACAGACAGGCAAATTGGATAAAAAGCCAAAACCCATTGGTATGTTGCATCCAGACCCATCTCACATGCAAGGATACACGAAGACTCAAAACAAAGGGATGGAGGAAGATTTACCAACCAAATGGAGAAAAATAAATGAATAAAACAGGAGTTGCAATTCTCGCCTCTGATAAAATAGACTTTAAAGCAACAAAGATCAAAAGAGGCAAAGAAGGACAATACATAATGGTAAAAGGATCAATGCAACAAGAAGAGCTAACGATCCTAAATATATATGCACCCAATACAGGAACACCCAGATACATTAGGCAAGTTCTTAATGACTTATAAAGAGACTTAGACTCCCACACAATAATAGTGGGAGACTTTAACATCACATTGTCAATATTAGACAGATCAACAAGAGAGAAAACTAACAAGGATATCCAGGACTTGAATTCAGACCTGGAACAAGTAAACTTAATAAGCATTTACAGAACTCTCCACCCCAAATCCGCAAAACATACATTTATCTCAGTACCACATCACACCTACTCTAAAAGTGACTACATAATTGGAAGTAAATCACTCCCGTGTAATTGCATAGCATTTCACAGGTTTAAATGAAATATAGGTTGGCTGCTTGTTTGTTATTTTCCTCCCTTATTCCTGCCTGTTTCCATTGTTAAACACAATTATTGGCATAAAAGAGGTGTTTGATACCCATTTTTAGACTGCATTCTAGCCTGGGCAACAAAGCAAGACTCCCATTCTCTCTCCCTCTTTCTCTTCCTCTTTCTTTCTTTCATTCTTTTTTTCCTTTCTCTTTTTTTTTCTTAAAAAAAAAAAAAAAAAAGAATGTATATTGGGGGGAAAAAAACCCTCTTCAATAAATGGTGCTGGGAAAACCAGGCATCCAGATGCAGAAGAATGAAACTAGACCCCTCTCTATCACCACAGACAAAAATCAACTCAAAATAGATTACAGGCCTAAATGTAAGACCCGAAACTACAAAACTACTAGAAGAAAACATAGGGAAAATACTATAGGACATTGGTCTAAGCAAAGATTTTTTGGCTAAGACCTCAAAAGCACAGGCAACAAAACCAAAATTAGACAACTATGACTATTTAAAGAAAAAAGCTTCTGCACAGCAAAGAAAACAATCAACACACTGAAGAGACAATCTGTTGAATGGGAGAAAAGATCTGCAAACTATGCATCTGACAAGGAACTAATATCCAGAATATTCAAGAAACTCAAACAACAGCAAAAATACAAATAATCCCATTAAGAGGTAGGCAAAAGACATGAACAGACATTTCTCTAAAGAACACATATAAATAGCCAACAGGTATATGAAAAAATACCACCACTGATCATCAGGGAAATGCAAATCAAAGCCACAATGAGATCTCATCCTACTCCAAATAGAATAGCCATTATTAAAAAGACCCAAAAAACCCAGATGCTAACAAGAATGTGGAACAAAAGGAATTCTTATACACTGTTGTTGATAGTAATGGAAATTAATACAGACATTATAGAAAAGAGTATGGAGAGCGGTTTTTGTTTTTGAGATAGCTAAAAAAAAAAAACTAAAACTAGAATAACTATAGGATCCAGCATTCCAACCTTTGGATATTTATCCAAAGGAAAAGAAATTAGTATATCAAAGGGATACCTGCACCCCCATGTTTACTGCAGAACTATTCATAATAATAAAGAAACCGAATCAACCTCAGTGTCTATCAACAGATGAATAGATAAGGAATCTGTGGTACACATACACAATGGAATACTAGTTGGCCATAAAAAAAGACTGAAATTCTGTCAACTGCAGCTATACAGATAGAACTGGAGGTCATTATGTTAAGTGAAATAAGCCAGGTACAGAAAGACAAATATCACAGGCTCTCATTCATATGTGGGAGCTAAAAAAGTTGATCTCATAGAGATAGAGTGGGACGACAGTTACCAGAGGCTGGGAGGGTGTGTGGTGGGGAGAGGAGGATAAAGAAAGGTGGTCAGGAGATACAAACATACAGTTAGATAGAAGAAATAAGTTCTAATATTTAAGAGCAGAGTAGGGTGATTATGGTTAACAATAATGTATTGAATTCCCCCAACATAGAGAAATGATATATATCGAGGTGATACTCTAAATACCTTTATTGACCATTACACTTTTTTTTTTTTTTTTTTTTTGACACGAGGTCTGACTTTGCAGTGCAGTGGTGCAATCACAGTTCACGGCAGCCTGGAGCTCCCAGACTCAGGTGATCCTCCCACCTCAGCCTCCCAGGTAGCTGGGACTACAGGTGTGTGCCACCATATCCAACTAATTTTTTGTGCATTTTGTAGAGACAGGATTTTACCATGTTGCCCAGGTTGGTCTCAAACTCCTGAGCTCAAGCAATCTGCCTGCTTCAGACTCCCAAAGTGCTGGGATTACAGGCATAAGCCATCACACTTGGCCTTCATTAAACATTTTATGAATGTAATAAAATGGCATACGTTCCCCATAAAAACATACAACTATTATGGATTAATCTTAAAAAAAGAAAATAGGAAAAAAAGAGCCACCCATAATTCCACAACCATGACAAAACCACTGCTATTTCTTGGGATATTTCTTTCCAATCATATATAAAAATACAACTATAATTATCCTATATGTATACAACTTTGTTTACTGCTTTTCTCACTTAATATGTGTGAGCATTTTCCCGTGTCATTAAAAATTCTTTTTTATTTGGCTTGTACACTGCTGTTGAATTAAGTATTACTCCCAGTTTTCACCATTATAATGCTGGTGCTTGGATATCTATGCACATGAATCTTTGCTCCTCTCTGAAGATTTACTAGGGATGAGTTAACATTCTTGGCAAAACTATCAAGAGAGCTGGTTTCCAGAGATGTTGTATTAATCTCTACTTTTCTTTGATAGATATGAGTGTTTACATCACACCCCACCTTTGCTGGTACTACAACTCTCTTTTTTTTAAGCAGTCCTCCTCCATTCCCCTATCTTCTGCTAAGTAAAGGAGGCTCTCTGAAGCATAAGAAATGAGAAGTCATACCCAACTAATATACTATTATAAATGGGACCAGAGAAGGTATATATCTCTAGCTCATCAATTCTGAATGTATTACTTTGAACGTTCTCTATTTTCAAAAATAATTTTTAACAAGTGGAGTCAAGGCTTTTAGACTGTTCACTAACAATCTCAGAATATTAAAACTTGGAAAGAATAGCCTTTTACTTATAACTGGTTCAAACATAAAAAGGAGAATTTAGAAATCAATAAGTTGCTCTTAATTTATTATTCATTGGTATTAAGTGATCCACAAATGGCAACACACCAAAATAAATATCAGACACTTCAGAAAAGATACAGCACTGCTTAGGTCTCTAAAGTTTAACTTATTAATTTAAAAATTAAATTTCCAAGACCTGTTTCAGGTTACACCAATCATCCACATCCAAGGCACAAAAACAGTTCGATTAATGAATATTATTTTTGCTGCTAGAGTTGCTTACAAGCTTTGAGGTAAACTATATAATTGATTTTACTGCCCTATACTATTAATTTTTCAAGTTGGTTAGGTTCAACTCATTTCTTTTCAGTTGAACATAATACACAATGCAATTCCTAATGGTTTTTTATTTAGAATTTGACCTAAACATATACAAAATTTGTAAGATTTCATTTGTAAAAAGGATTTGAAGTCAATTACAGCATTTAAAGATAGGAAACCACCTCTATAACTAAAAAATTGGTATTTTTCTGTTGTTCATACTCACCTGGCGCAAAAGCTTCATATCCTTCAAGACAAAGGCAATGTAGAAGAGTGAGGCAAAGCAATTGAGAAAGTTGAACTGGCAAAAAAAAAAAAAAGGTAACAGTGTTAAATGCTGCTTTAGAGTACTTTATTACAACTGTAATGTAGCATTTAAAAATGTAATGAGAGACATCCAGTCTGAATGAAATGGCAGTCTTGTTTCTCCCCATGTCTCCTTACTCTCTAGAAATAACAAAAGAGGCAACCAAAGGAGAACTCTGAAAGGTGCTTAAAGGAAGATGAGATGGTTTAGGACCCCAGAGCTAAAGGAACAACAAACACAGCACACGCATATCTCCAGTTCCCCCACCCAACAGGAGGAGACCAAGACCTGGCATTTCCCAATCGCAATCTACCAACCCAGGTAGCCCAAGTAGGCTCATTCCTCCCATATCAGAAAAGGAGTCCTGTCAGTGCCAGGAGAGCCCAGCTAAACTGGCAAGGGGAAATCAATCGGGACCCTAAACTAACAGTAAGTTTCCTGGGGAAGTGCTCTTCTTCCTTGCTGGGCCTGAGACTCCCATGCTGCATGGAGAGATCCCAGGATGGCCAGACAACACAGGAAAGAAAAGCCCCATCACAGCAAGCCTGTGCCTGAAAACCCCACCAAGAGTAAGTGGGAAAGCTGGGTGGCACTGGCAAGGGGGCGCCTGCCACAAGGGCCTGATATAAGAGGCCTCTTCACGCCTATGGACCTGAGATTCTCTCTATCACAGAGAGACAGCGGGTAACTGGGAGGCTATAACAACCAGTCTGGCCTCAGAAGCATCTTTGTCACTATGGGCATCAACTCCCTTGCTCTGCCAGATACACAGCAGCAGGCTGGGCAAAGGGGAGTACCAATCAGGGGGATCCTGCTACAAAAAGTGCCATCTCTTCCAGGAGTTTCCTGCTTAATAATCTATAGTTACCCCCTGCATGAATGGGTTTCCTTTCTGCCTCCCAGTCCCCATGCTGACTACTTCCTGCCCAGTAGCATCACTTAGACAAAGGCTGCTATGTGTACAGGAGTGAGTGCTTAATTACTGTGAGATGGGGAGTAATTCTAGAAAATGAGCAGTAAGATCAATACAGCCACAGGACAGGGGTGCTAAGTTAGAGCAGAAGTTGAAAAGCAAAAGCCTAGAGAGACTATGAAACACCATCCCCTTAAGATTAAAAAGGAAGGGAGAGGCTTAAAGTCTGTTTCATCAGAGACTAGGAATGCAACCCCTGCTTTTTTTCTCTCTCTCCATTTGCTTGGCAAATCTTCCTCCATCCCTTTATTTTGAGCCTATGTATGTCTTTGCACATGAAACCAGTCTCCTGAATACAGCACACCAATGGGTCTTGACTCTTTATCCAATTTGCCAGTCAGTGTCTTTTAAACTATTCCAAACAATACAGAAAGAGGGACTCCTCCCTAACTCATTTTACGAGACCAACATCATCCTGATGCCTAAACCTGGCAGAGGCCCAACTAAAACAGAAAATTTCAGGCCAATATCCATGATGAACATTGATGTGAAAATCTTCAATAAAATACTGGCAAGCCAAATCCAACAGCACATCAAAAAGCTTATCCATCACAATCAAATAGGCTTCATCCCTGGGATGCATGGCTGGTTCAACATATGCAAATCTATAAATGCAATCCATCACATAAACAGAACTAAAGACAAAAACCACATGATTATCTCAACAGATGCAGAGAAGGCCTTCAACAAAATTCAACAGCCCTTTATGCTAAAAACTTTCAATAAATTAGGTATGAACAGAACGTATCTCAAAATAAGAGCTATTTATGACAAACCCATAGCCAATATCATACTGAATGGGCAAAAACTGAAAGCGTTTCCTTTGAAAGCCGGCACAAGACAAGGATGCCCTCTCTCACCACTCCTATTCAACATAGTATTGGAAGTTTTGGCCAGGGCAATCAGGCAAGAAAAAGAAATAAAAGGTATTCAATTAGGAAAAGAAGAAGTCAATTTGTCGCTATTTGCAGATGACATGACTGCATATTTAGAAGACCCCATTATCTCAGTCCAAAATCTCAAGCTGATAAGCAGCTTCAGCAAAGTCTCAGAATACAAAATCAATGTACAAAAATCAAAAGCATTCCTATGCACCAATAACACGCAAAGAGAGAGCCACATCATAAGTGAACTCCCATTCACAATTGCCACAAAGAGAAAAAAATACCTAGGAATACAACTAACGAGGGATGTGAAGGACCTTTTCAAGGAAAACTACAAACTACTGCTCAAGGAAATAAGAGAGGAAACAAACAGATGGAAAAAGATTCCATGCTCATGGTTAAGAAGAATCAATATCATGATAATGGCCATACTGCCCAAAGTAATTTATAGATTCAATGCTATCCCTATCAAGCTACCATTGACCTTCTTCACAGAGCTGGAAAAAACCACCTTAAACTTCATATGAAACCAAAAAGAGCCCGCATAGACAAGACAATCCTAAGCAAGAAAAAAAAAAAAAAAAAAAAAAAAACCAAAGTTGGAAGCATCATGTTACTTGACTTCAAACTATACTACAAGGCTACTACAAGCCTACAGTAATCAAAACAGCATGGTATTGGTACCAAAACAGAGATATAGACCAATGGAACAGAACAGAGGCCTCAGAAGTAATGTCACATATCTACAACCATCTGATGTTTGACAAACCTGACAAAAAATGGTGTTGGGAAAACTGGCTAGCCATATGCAGAAAACTGAAACTGAACCTCTTCCTTACACCTTATACAAAAGTTAACTCCAATGGATTAAAGATTTAAACATAAGACCTAACACCATAAAAACCCTAAAAGAAAACCTAGGCAATACCACTAAGGACACAAGCGTGGGCAAAGACTTCATGACTATAACACCAAAAGCAATGGTAACAAAAGCCGAAATAGACAAATGGGATCTCATTAAACTTAAGAGCTCTGTACAGCAAAAGAAACTATCAATAGAGTGAACCAACAATCAACAGAACGGGAAAAAATGTTTGTGATCTACCCATATGACAAAGGACTAATAACCAGAATCTACAGAGAACTTAAAGAAATTTACAAGAAAAAAACAACTTGGCAAAGAGTGGACAAATGATATGAAGACACTTCTCAAAAGAAGACATGTATGCAGCCAACAAACATATGATAAAAAGCTCATCATTCGTGGTCATTAGAGAAATGCAAGTCAAAACCACATTGAAATACCATCTCACACTAGTTAGAATGGTGATCATTAAAAATCAGGAGACAACAGATGCTGGAGAGGATGTGGAGAAATAGGAATGCTTTTACACTGTTGGTGGGAGTGTGAAGTAGTTCAACCATTGTGGAAGACAGTGTGACGATTCCTCAAGGACCTAGAACTAGAAATACCATTTGACCCGGCAATCCCATTACTGGGTATATACCCAAAGGATTATAAAACATTCAGTTATAAAGACACATGCACACATATGTTTATTGTGGCACTATTTACCATAGCAAAGACCTGGAACCAACCCAAATGCCCATCAATGATAGACTAGATAAAGAAAATGTGGCACATATACAAGGATGAGTTCATGTCCTTTGCAGGAACATGGACAAAGCTGGAAACCATCATTCTCAGCAAACTGACGCAAGAACAGAAAACCAAACACCTCATGTTCTCAATCATAAGTGGGTGTTGAACAATGAGAACACAGGGAGGAGAACATCACACACCAGGGTTTGTCAGAGGGTACGGTGGGGAGGAATAGCCAGCGGTGGGGGAATTGGGGAGGGTTAACATTAGAAGAAATACCTAATGTAGATGACGGGGGAATGACTGCAACAAACCACCATGCCATGTGTATATTTATGTAACAAATCTGCACATTCTGCACGTGTACCCCAGAAAAGTATAATAAATTTAAAAAAGAAAAACAGGAGGGAGAAGCCTAAGAAGTATCGCGGAGGAAGAAGACTTTAACCAACGGCTTTTTTTTCACAAGGCAGTTACCTAATTATATCTGACATCATCAGAGAACAACAAAGTCTCACAAATAACTGAATTATTTCAGACAAATGGAATGTTTTTACCTCTGAGGGAAAAACCTCCTCCCATTATAACCTTTTTGAATGAACTTTTTAATGCATTCCACGTTCCTCTACTTTCTTACACAGAGAGCACAGAACAGAACTTCCTTGCTGGTTTAGCACCAACATTTTAAATATGAACAATTTCACAGAGTGAAGGATGCCTTTGAAACCTTTTGGATATGTAGGGCTACTTGTCCCTTTCCTAATGCCCAATTGTTGAATTCTTATCTCTTATGACAGGTTTTCATTTCCTTACCTGTTCTCTTTCTGTAGGTTTGCCTACTTCCAGTAATCTAAACACCCTCGTGATGGTGGTTTCTGATTTTTTAAGGACCGAAAAACCAGACAGATAAACTTCTTAGAACGATTTCTACGGCTAGAACAGAGATTTTAAATGAGGGCCTGGATCCTTCCCTTGGGAGTGAAGTACATGGACTATGTTAAATCAATACCAGTTGAAAGTTCAGAGGATTCTTCATGCACCTTTGATTCTCACTTATGTTACAGATGACTGAGGTAAACCCCTGATAAATGAGGTGTTTTCAAGCTGGTACTTCTTTATTATTTATAATAATGGTAAAAAGAGGCATGACATGTCAGCTTTTATACAAACAGCAAACAGGTTACATACTGCTTTCTGCCTCTTTCCTCCCAACTATCAAAACATACTTGGAATCTTTTGAACTTTGGACATATAAAAAAATTTTTTTTTTAATGTTAAGTTATATCACTAAACAGGTGGTGGTGCCAGGAAGGATTACTGAATAGCAAGACATTCAAAGAAATCACCAAAAGGAAAAGAATAGAAACATGTCTAAAAAGTCGTTAGATTTTTGTTTTGTTTTGAGACAGGGTCTTGCTCTGTCACCCAGGTTAGAGTGCAGTGGTGCGATCCTGGCTTACTGCAACCTCCGCCTCCTGGCTTCAAGCGTCTTCTCCTGCCTCAGCCTCCCGAGTAATTGGGACTACAGGCATGCACCACTACATCTGGCAAATTTTTTTTTGTATTTTTTGGTAGAGATGGGTTTTCACTGTGTTAGCCAGGCTGGTCTCAAACTCCTAGCCTCAAGTGATCCACTTGCCTCAAGCTTCCCAAAGTGCTGGGATTATAGGTGTGAGCCACCACATCTGGCCAGTTAGTTATTTTTATTTATTTTTATTACTTTTTTTGAGACAGAGTCTTGCTCTGCCACCCAAGCTGTAGTGCAGTGGTGCCATCTTGGCTCACTGCAACTTCCCCATCGTAAGTTCACGTATTCTCGTGCCTCAGCTTCCCGAGTAGCTGGGATCACAGGCCTATGCCACCATCCCCAGCTAATTTTTCTATTTTTAGTAGAGATAGAGTTTCACCATGTTGGCCATGATGGTCTCAAACTCTTGACTCACCCGCATCAGCCTCCCAAAGTGCTGAGATTACAGGTATGAACCACTGCACCTGGCCTAGTTTTTAAATAACTGGAAACTGGCTATAATACTCCTATATTTTGAAGTCTTTCATCACATGCACATTTGTAATAAGGCTACTGAACACAGAGGTAAAGAATTTTTTAATCAGTGCTTGCCTATTTGTGCAAAATATATTGATATCTTAAATTAGAAGTAACTGTTCATATTTGTATTCCTATGTATTATGTAGTATATATCAGTTTCATAAAATGGATTTGTATATAAACACTATACTTACCACTAAAACTTTCAGAATTAGATGATTCTGATAGGCAGATTCCAGTCTGTGATTCTCTAAAACATTAAAACACAGAGGTAACTTCTCAGTAAGAAAACAATATGAAAGCACTGTTATGAAGTAAAGTGGGACTTGCACTGAGGGCAGAGATGTCTAACATCAGAGCCTGTCAGTAAATGTGCTAGGCTGTCAATCACAGCTATGCCTCACCACCAAAAGCATCAAACAAGGACACATTTTTCAGGGTACTGTAATAGCACTATAGTCTGAAATTATTTTTTAAATTATTGATTCAAAGAAATTTGGGAAGTCCTGGCAAACAATCCTACAGACAGCCACCCAAAACCCTGTAAAAGAAATAATAGTGAAAACTAATAGTAACCTCTGAAGAATAGGGCAATAAATAGTTTTCTGTAAATAAAATTCTATAAGTAAAGTTTCATGTGGCTTACAAGGGTTAACTTGAAAGGAAACTCAAATTTCTACCCTCATCTAGAAAAGGCAGCACTGTATTGATCCCAAAACAGCAAGATAAAATGACAAAAAGGAAGATTCTGAAGAAAAGTGTCATCTTACACAGAGAGTGTTGGACTGACCTGGATTTGAACACCAACTTAGCTACTCAGCCACCGCCTAACCTTGTAAGTGACTTAACCTCCTGATACTCAGCCTTATTGCCTACAAAACAAGGCTGACCATCCTCCTCCCAAGGTCATTCTCGAGATCAGAAATAATGTAAACCTTAGCCTAGTATTAGCATAAGGAAAGTACTCGATAAATGACAGCTGATGTTGTTATACAATTAATAAAAATAATTTAAAACATCTTTTTTTTTTTTTTTTTTTTTTTTTTGAGATGGAGTCTCACTCTGTTGCCCAGGCTGGAGTGCAGTGGCACAATCTCAGCTCACTGCAACCTCCACCTCCTGGGTTCAAGTGATTCTCCTGCCTCAGCCTCCTGAGCAGGTGAGACTACAGGCGCCCGCCACCACGCCTGGCTAATTTTTGTATTTCTAGTAGAGATAGGATTTCAGACTAGGCTAGTCTCAATCTCCTGACCTTGTGATCTGCCCACTTCAGCCTCCCAAAGTGCTGGGATTACAGGTGTGAGCCACCGTGCCCAGCCCCTAAAACATCTTTATGGCCCATAAAGTTAAGTCCTAGACTTCTTCCTAGGGAATAATATAGTGAATTTGTTCATTGGTTTGAATGAATAAATAAATTAAAGAATGAATGGCCTGTCAAGACCATTTTTAACTTATAACCAAGTTCCTTTTTTACCACAGATACATCCATAAACACCTGCCTTCAGCAAGCTCAGTAGCAGTCCTCAGTGCCTCATTCCACTGTAGGAAACTGGTCATAGTGGATTCAGCTTAGTATCATGAAGACAATTTCATTTTTTTTTTCTTTTTCTTTTTTTTACTTTCTTCTGTGGCTCTAGCCAGTGCAACAATTTCAATCTATTTTACCCTCAGCCTGAAACACAATGTTATAGTATTAGGAGCACGAGTTTTGGACAGATAGGTCTGAATAGCCTAGATCCACTATTTGCTATCTGAATCTCATTAAGCATCAATTATCTTTATCCATAAAAGGGTGAAATAGCTTCTATTTCACAGTGCTTTTGAGAAGGTGATGGTGAGATACTGTGAGTAAAGTGCTTAGCAGGGCACCTAGAACATAGTAATTAACACTCAATAAAAGAGTTATGATAACTATGGCATGGAGATCATCAGTGTTCACAAAGCTAATGAATTTTCCTTATGTCTCTATAAAGAGCCAAGAGCAACATCTATTTTCTCTGCAAGGTAGCAGCTATATGAATCCCATGATCTAAGCAATGTTTCTTACAAGCAAGTAAGACATGAATATAAAGCTTCAAGTCTTACCCCATGAAGTTAGAAACTCGGCAGCATATCGATACAGACGATTCATGATCTCAATCACAATGGCATAGATGATGCTGGGCACATACAAGAGGACACTGGTCCACTCAGACCCACTGTTCTCATGGAGACCCAAGGCCCAAACCTCCAAGTCGAAGTAAATCATCATGACATACAGTGAGAAATAGAGGCAGAGGCACACAAATGGCAGGGAGACCAGGTAGATGCGCAACTGTCTCTTATAGCTGGGGTACAGAGGCTCCTCCTTCCCAGTGATGGAATTGATACCCAAGACACCATGAAATCCCGGCCGGGGCTCCTCAAACTTTCTCTTCATGAGCAGTGTTCCCCACCTGTAGGTCATGTTGGCACAGCCACGCTTCCACACTTCCAGAATCAACGTGGACCAGATCAGGTTGAATGAGGCAAAGATCACATACTTGTCATAGTCTTCCCACACAAACAAGTAGTAAGGTAACCCAATGACGGCCATGGGGATTAATGCAAAAGTGAAATATTCCAAAAATCCAAAGTACAGAGCAATTGTTTCCCCAAAGTAGCCACGAATACTGTCTATAGTGGAAAGAAAGGAAGAACATAAATATAGACTACCAAAGACTTTAAAAAATCATTTCGAGTACGTTTATTCATTTTTTAGTTAAGTGGGGATCATTTAACCCTCACTTCCCAATCAGCATGTGGTGGTAAATCCATCCTCCATGCAGTACAAAGACCCTTCTTGTCTGCATGGCAGGCCCAACATTTCTTCCAGCTTAGAGCCCAGGCCTTAGCTGTGGGGACTGCTCTGCCAGGTGACTGGACTCTGTTTCCCCTCACCTGGTGGATACTCTCCTCCCAAAGGAAAACTCACCTTGTAGCTGACCCAAAATCTCCAAAGTCCTAATTTAAGTTCAGCCATGGCCACTGAACATAATTTGGGGGGTTTAATTTATGCTCCCCACTTTTCTCCCACTTTAGTGTTATAAATGTTCTTTTTGAAGAAGACTCCCCATCCACAAAATTCTGCCCTTCCCTACACAATACGCAAAGACATAAACTTTCATCAGTGTGTCATGGCACATTTTTCAATACACTAAAGAAAAATTATTCAAAAGCACAAAACAGGATTCTACACATTAACTTCCAGAACAGCCATGGAACACATTTACCAACACTTTCATATATGCACTGGGCAGAAGAAGGTCCAAGTAACATGACTGCTAATGTTCTGTGAACTCGACACAAGCTAACTGACTCTAGAGAGGTCACCAACATTGCTTCCTTTGCCAGCATCATCCACATGGGGAGTGCTTAGATCGTAAGAGCATCCTGCACCAGGACCAGGGTGGGAAGCAGAGGGTGAGAAGAAGTGTGGCAGTTGGCGTTATTATTCCTTAGTTAATAATAAAGAGTTAAAATATTTTTCTTAAGATAACTTGAGTAGTCTATAAAGGTGGGTTAGAATGAACTGAGATAGGCTATTTTCTCCTATCCTTAATTCTTCCCCCTAACCCAGGAGCAAATGAAAACGGTGGGTATAAATGAGGTTAAAGAACATCCAATCATTTTTTTTAAAGGTGCTCATGACACTTGGCTCCACAGCAGATAACCTTCCCCTTTCAATCTCGGGGAGCCTCAAGATTCACCTATATCCCAGATGCTATCACCAGTCTCAGTCCCCAGATACCCCAAATCCACTACCACCCATGCCTAGCCTTCACCATCAACTCACTTTCTCCCCTTACTTTCTAAGAAGTAGCTAATAGAGGCTGCGCACAGTGGCTCACATCTGTAATCCCAGCACTTTGGGAGGCCAAGGCAGGCGGATCACCTGAGGTCAGGAGTTCAGGACCAACCTGGCCAACATGGTGAAACCCTGTCTCTACCAAAAATACAAAAATTAGCACGGCATGGTGGTGTGTACTTGTAGTCTCAGCTACTTAGGAGGCTGAGGCAGGAGAATCACTTCAACCCAAGAAGCAGAGATTGCAGTGAGCCAAGATCGTGCCACTGCACTCTGGCCTGGGCCACAGAGTGAGGCTCCATGTCAAAAAAAAAAAGTGGCTAATAGATATAGTCACTTTACAAGTCCTAGAGGCAATATTCAAATTTCCTGCCACTTAAATGCCAAAACAAAGTAAAACAGTTTTAAGTGTAACATAAAATGACTATTATATGACCTGGAATTATCAAAAACAAAATTTTCCTTTCAGAGAATACAAAAAAATTCAAATGTAATTTCAGAGTTTGATCTTAAAAACGATTTTTGTTTGGTACACATTATATGATAGTTGTTTTCAGAAACAGAAAGCAGAAATAAAATTATTTTAGAAGGATACCATTAAACAAAATCAAAAGGAAAATGTCATTTAAAGAAAAAAAAATGATAGTAATGCTAACGTGAAATCTACCAGCTTAAATTTAATTCTCATGCTTAAAAAATGCAACCAGACTAAAATACTTGAACATCCATATTGACAAAATTTTAAATAATGTCTGGCACATACCAAATAAATACTTAGTTTCATAATTATATTCAGAGAAAATGGATAGATACAGTAATACATGCCAAGGTAATTACAAATCACCTCAAAAGATGTTTGGCCTGCTAGTTGCCCTAAGTATGGCATAGCTTGGTTCATTCTAAATAACTGGCTCCTCAAAAATAAAAAATTTCAAATACAAAATAGTCATTCACAGTCAAACTAAATTCTTATTAAAACTTGTTTGATTCCAACTCTGCCACATATTCAGGAAGGCCATTCTGAACTGTCTGTGTTGTTGGTGAAGGGTAGTGAAAGAAAGCTGATCTGGGATAGTATTAGAAAGTCAAAAAATGCCAGGCACAGTGGCTCACACCCATAATCCCAGCACTTTGGGAAACCAAGACAAGAGGATTGCTTGAGCATAGAAGTTCAAGACCAGCCTGAGCAACATGGTGAAACCCCATCTTTGCAAAAAATACAAAAAATTAGTTGGGCATGGTGGTGCACACCTGTGATCTCAGCTACTCAGGAGGCTGAGATGGGAGGATTAAGTCTAGGAGGTCAAGGCTGCAGTCAGCCATGATCATACCACTGCACTCCAGCCTGTGACATAGTGAGACTCTATCTCAAAAAATAACAAAAAAAAAAAAAGTTAAAAAAAAAAAAAAAGAAGGGATCATCTAACCTATCTTATTCCTCCCTCCTGCCAAAATGATTTCCCACATGCAGCTGGTGATCCTGCCTAGTAGAGCACTAAATATCTGCCCAAGGGAGCTGACTCCACTGCTGGATCATAACTTTTCATTAGAGGCCTTCCTCTTCTTTAAGAGAACAAGTACTGACACATACCTATGGGCTGATACTTTAAAGCAAACCGAGTGTACCAGGTGTCCTCGAGCTTCTTCAGGGCTTCATTGTCATGCAGTGGAAACACCTGAATCACGATGCCAGATGTAAGCAATCTTCTCACTGCACAGGGAAAATGTGCCGAACTGCATGAAATGGACTGGAGACTGTGCATGATATGCTTCAGCAAATATTATAAGGATACTCCACCAAGGAGTACAATGCAAAGGTCAATGTCATACTGCCTACTCTAAACCTGTATATTCTTTTGTTTTTCAGAATGTAAATATCTTTAGTATTCTCTTTGACTACAAAGCAAGACAAATACAAAATTTTAAACCACATAGTAGTGTACAAATTAGACTATGAGAGGCTATTAGTCTCTCCACCCCCTTGAAAATAACCACTATAAAAAGCAGTACAGTGAATTACCAGACATAAAAATATATCCATATATAGTTTAAGAACAAAAATGAATTCATTTTATACACATTACATTGTTTTGTAATCTTTTCTCATGTAGTAGTACACAGTGAATATTTTTTGATGCCAATAAAAATAGAACATGAAACGTCCTTTTAACAGAACCATAATATTCCCTTGTATGAAATGCTGTAATTCAAGGAATCCTCTATTTAAAAATATTTGTTTCCCTTTTTTTGCTGTTAAGTTAATGCTAAAATCTGTACAAATACCTTTCCCTACCTGTCTACTATTTCCTTAGTAAATATATTTACAGGGGGAACTGCTAGGTCCAAGGGCATTAGTATTTTAATATTTGATATATATTATAAAATTTTCTCTAGAAAAAAATTTACCAATATGTCCTTCCACTACAGTGAAGGTAAGAAAGTTCAGCTCTTTTCATTCTTGTTGATACAGAGTATTCTCAATCCTTTCCATCTTTTCTAATCTGATAACAAAAGCTTACATTCAGAAATAGCAAGTAACAATATTAAATTAAGACTTCCTGCTGTTAGCAGTCATTTGATGAGTATGGTTTGAACACTCATGCACATATCTGGAAGAGATAAATGAATTTAACCAAAGACAGTATCTCCTGGCAATATTAAATAAAATTTGTAATTCTCTCATCCATAGTAATTACTTAGAATGACTCAGTGGGTGAAGACTGTCTTCAGGTCTTTAAGAGGAAGTGTGTTCGGTAGATATGGAGAACTCTAAAGAAATGTCTTGTGCCATATTTGGGAAGACAGAATATTTTCCACATGAGTTCCTAATACAGTATCTTAACTAAGAATATGGCTGCTTATAAAATGAAATTTGGCCAGGCGCAGTGGTTCACACCCATAATCCCTCCTAAAGAGGAGTCCGAGGCAGAGGATTGCTTGAGGTAAGGAGTTTGAAACCAGCCCAGGCACCATCATGACATGCCTTCCCACTGTCCATCTATCAAAGCCATGTTATGGCTACATGGCTATGATAACAAGTGGAGTTATATGCCTGTGCTGTAAACTTGCTGAGTCACTGTGGATGTTTACCTTGGCTTATTCTCAACCAAAGTGCAGCCATGTTCCTTACATGCTTATTAGGGATCCCCCTCATTCCACCACAGGACAAGCAACATGGAGAATTAGCAATTGGCTACATGTGTCTTAGTTGCCAAGTGCTCATCTTGATAGCCATTCATTTCTTGTTTTCATTCATTTCTTGTTTTCATGTCAGTTAAGATCTTTTCATGCCCTCAGACTCTGCCTTCTCCCAGTGCTTCTTAACGGTCAATCATCATGCAAATAACCTAATGAAAGAGTTTCTTTATAAAGAAGAGTTTTTAAGGGCTCCAAGATTTTCATATATTTTAACTGTATCCCAAGGGATGTTACTTAATTTAGAATAAAGCTGTGTCTCAAAATGTCTATTGGATGATTATCATGTTTTGATTGATGGGACCACCTGGCACATATATTGTGTCTTTAATATTATATAGATATTCTTTTAGAACCTTATGTTAGTGTTTTCTTTATTAAGAAAGATACTGTTTTCTTTGTTAAGATAAAAGTGATCTGTTCACACCTGAGGGCTAGAGTTAGAGTGCTAGGTGCAGCAGTACCTGTGGGAACCCGGACTGTCTTCATTGTTCAAAGGCTGTTGGATTGGAGGTAGCATGACCTGCCCCTCTCTGTCCCATAGAAATGCTTCAAGGAGTTGTGAGAGGGATTTTGTTTTTACTTTTGAAGTATCACATAAACTAAAGGCAGAGCATTACTGTGTTAGTATTGTTATTGTATTAGTTAGTTTGTGGGGGTGGGGGGGTCCTACTGTAAACTACATTACTGATAGTCTCTCTTAAACTAGATTTTGGTTTGTTTGGCTAACAGTTCAATGGCTATCACAGCCATAAGCCCAGTACTTGACAAGAGATTATTCAGCAGTCTTGAAGGAAGGAATCTGGTTTAGGTTTTCCTTTCTTTTAATAGGCCCACATAGCATCATGTTTTCCTTTGAAGGTAAGGCTCCTTCCTAGTAATTACATTCTTAGCTGAAATGAAACAGTTGAAGGATTTAAAAAAACAAAAAAGCAAACTTCTATTTTTAGAAGCTGAAACCAGAACCATGACTTTGGCATTGATGAAGAGAAGCTCAGTAATTTAGGACCTGCAGCTTTATGTTCTCTCCGAGTCTTCAGTTCACAGTCTTATTTTTAGAAACTGGTTTTTATGCCTGCCTGGAAAGTCTTCTACAGTAGAATGGAGTCATCTTTTTAAAAAGAACTTAGAAATAGTAAAATAATTTATATGCTGTCAGTTCAGTTAAAAATTTTGACGTAGTAATTGACAAGGGTAGCAATAGGAAGAAAGAATCAGTTGTAGCCTCTACATCTCCAAATAAGGGATAAGAATCAGAACAGTCATGGCCGATCAACTTTAAATCATGTAAGCTAAAGAAAAATTCACTGAAACATGTTAGAATTAAAATATTAACAAATGGATTTGACAGTACCAGAGGCTAACTTGAACCACATGTCTTTTTACCGTAGTTACTGATACTTTGTTTATATACCTTTTTTTTTTTAAGACAGAGTCTTGCTCTGTTGCCAGGCGCCAGGCTGGAGTGCAGTGGCGCAGTCTCGGCTCACTGCAGTCTCCACCTCCTGGGTTCAAGCAGTTCTCCTGCCTCAGCCTCCCAAGTAGCTGGGACTACAGGCGCACGCCACCACGCCCAGCTAATTTTTGTATTTTTTAGTAGAGACGGGGTTTCACCATGTTGGCCATGATTGTCTTGATCTCTTGACCTCGTGATCCACCCACCTCAGCCTCCCATGGGTACATACTTTTTTACGATCATGAAGGAGAATTTTATCACAAACCTAGCTTTTAAAAACATTTTTCCTCTGTATAACTTACTTATGAAAATATAATTGTAGGAAGAACCATATAGGAAGAATCTTTTCTTCAGACTTTTTCCTATTGTTAGTACCAGATATCTCTTTATTATCTTTTTCTTTTTTATTTCTAAGAAGTAGCTCGGCTCACTCATGCTCAGAGAGAGAAAGAGTTAGGCTGCAGACTCTGAAGGGAGAGCTGGTCACATAGCTGTGTGGGAGCCACCAGACTAAGCAGTGAGATAGGGCAAACATTGTGAGCAAGCTAGTGTGAGTAAGCTACTGCTGAGAGAGCTGCTGAATAAAACTACCTTTCACCTGCCTACAGCCCCGTGGAGTGTTCTTTCAGCTATCTGCTCATCCACCCACTCCCTTCAGACCGCAGCATAAGCTGGAACCTGACCCCAAGTGTAACATTTGGTGTAGTTGTGGACCTACAATGCGCATTTCACAGCACCATCTGACTGCCTCAAAATCATGTTAACATGACAAAACTTGCTAACTACTTAATGAAAGCTTTCTATCAAAGCACAACATTACAGCAAGCAGCAAGCAACTTTATACTCCTGTATAAAATGAAAATCGAATTAAACGTTAGATCTGGGGAAAGCCCTGGCTACCTTTCAGTCTTGAGGAGCATCACATTGGGCAGACTAAAGCCTCACCTCCCAATCAGCCCCAGAGGCCACCCATGGGAGCAGCTGCCTTTAAGATGAAAATAGTTTTTCCACTCATTTCTGTGGTTTAACTTAATGAAAATCTAGGATTTAAGTTACTCTAAGTTTTATTAGTTCCAAAATTTGCACTCTGAAAATAGGTCATAGTTTTAATTATGCATATACCACTTGCTCTTCTATATAAAATTAAAATGATGCAAAAAACACAGCAGTTTAAGGATCACATTCTCAAAGGAAGAGAATGCAGAATTTAAAATCCCAGGCTTGACAACATAAATATAATTTATCTCAGATAGTATAAAAATCTTTCCAATGACCATGATGAAGATGATTTTATTGTATTCATATTTAGTACCAAAATGGAAGGAAAGAGAAGGGAGAAGGGAGAAAGGGAGAAAGGAGAAGGGAGAGAGGGAGAAGGGAGAAAGGGAGAAGGGAGAAGGGAGAAAGGGAGAAGG